GGAAGACCGCGGCTTTGCGGATGTGCCAGCACAGCCGTGGAGGCCATTGACCCGATGTGCTATTCCAGACATAACCCTATCCTGTCTACTTTATGGATCAATAAAAAATTTACAATTTTTGGTTATAAACCTGGGTTTTCTGTGAAAATTACTTCTTGCGTGAATTTTGGGACAGCCTATAGATGCGCCTTTTCGTGTGTGCGTGTGCGTGTGCGTGCGTGTGCGTGCGTGTGCGTGTGTGTGTGTGTGTGTGTGTGTCTGACTCCCGCTCACGCATTGGCAGCCTTCCAGGCTCGGGGAGAGGAGAAAGCCATCCTGAGCATCCCAACAGCCTCGTTCTGATCTGCGATACCGAGCAGCTCATTTCCACTTCACAGGCTCCGCTGCGAGAGACAAACCCCAGACGCTGAAGGGGCGGGAGGAGCGGGAGGGCCGGGAGGCAGGGCGGCTGGCGGAGGGAGGAGGGCGCGGGAGGGAGGATGAAAGCGGAGAAGGGCCGCGTGTATGAAGCTGTTTTCCTTTTGGTGAAAAAGGAGCATTTATCAGTGATTTCATAGATCACGGGAGAGATGGCTTCCTGCCAGTTTCCAAGAATGCAAACAAGCCCACTGACATCATTTGCTAAAAATAGCCGGGCCTCTGCCTTAGGTGAAGCCATAACCTCGGGAGGGGACGTGGTTCTCTCCGGTTACATGTTTATGATGATCAGGCTGGTGGGCTCCTGTTGTCGGTAGGATCGGGTCCGGGTCCAAGGAGGAATGGGGCACAAAGATCCCACAGACAATTTTGGGGGGTGATGGAGGGAGCCCTATGCCTGCTGCCTCCCCGGATGCCCAGCGGAGCCTGGCTTTGTGGGGGGGAAGATTGGGGGTGGTGCTTTGGTTGTTGTGGATTTTCAAAGCCCTGGTGTGGCCTGGCTGGTGTGGCTCAGTGGTTGAGCATTCACCTATGAACCAGGAGGTCACAGTTCGATACACAGTCAGGGCACATGCCCGGGTTGTGGGCTCCATCCCCAGTGGGGGGCATGCAGGAGGCAGCCGGTCCATGAATCTCTCTCCTCATGGATGTTTCTCTCTCCCTCTCCCTTCCTCTCAGAAACAATGAAAATCTATTAAAAAAAAAAAAGCAGACAGACACGCAGTACGGCTGGTTTATACACACAGCCCTGAGATGTCCCATATGCGCCACCTTCTGTGTATCCTGGTCTTTAAGCTAGTTCGATTCCGGTCAAGGGCACGTACCTCGGTTGGAGGCACCTCCCCAGCCTGGGCCCTGGTTGGGGCTCGTGCAGGAGGCAACCAATCGATGTGTTTCTCCCACATCGATGTTTCTCTCTGTCTTTCCCTCTCTCTCCCACTCTCTCTCTAAAAATCAATGGAAAAAATACCCTCGGGTGAGGATTAGCAATAACAACAGAAAAACACCAGTAAGGAAAGCTGGCTGAAGACAACCAACTCCGGGCTCAGGGATGGTCGTGAGGCGGGGGCAGAGGCGAGTGCCCACAGGGGAGAGTCGGGGTGAGGTCTGAGGGGGAGCTGGCTGAGCATCTCTGTTCTGTAGGTCGGCAGGTGAGGATGCTCATCTAATGGGTCTGGACCCCATCCCCCCACGCCCCCCTCCTCCTCCTGGGCCTCGAAGCTTCGATTCCACCCCAGAGCCTTTGTGTCTCACTCACACGTTGTGGTGTGGGACCTCTGAAGAATAAAGATTGGTAATGAGACCTGAGACGCCTGCCGGCTCAGCCCCGGGCTCACCCTGAGGGGCAGGGGACAGAAGGGGCGGCTGGAGGGAGAAGAGGGGGCAAGAAAATTAGTTTGGAGAGACAAGGAGCCTGAGAATCGAAAGGGCTCCGGGAAGCTGTTGCATCCCTACTCTCATCACCATGTCTCTTCACAGTCAGGGAGGCAGGAGCGGCGGTTACCATGGCAACGGGTGCCCCAGCAGCACCGGGGGGGAAGGAGAGGGCCGGGTAGAAGGAGGAAAGAGAAAAAGGCACGGAACACGTTTGAAGCATCCACGGGGGAAGCCACGGCGCGTCTCACTTCCCATGGGAGAGAGGACGTTACGGAGCCCAGAGGACGCCCACTGCCACCACCCTGGGAGGGGCAGGGGTGCCCGGACGCTGTGACCGTGGAAGCCTTGGGGAATAACCTTGGGGATCAGGCCCTTGCTTATTTCATCATCACCTGTTCTC